TATAGACAGGAACATTGCAGCTTGGGGTGATTGAAGATAACACAAAACTCGCTCAGCAACTTGTTGGCTTCCAAGTTCAAACGGAGGTGCCTTGTTGGCGCCTCCTGCCTGAAGATCACTCTCAACTCACCCAAATCGCCGTGCGATTTGCGGAGAACTTTCACCCCCCAAAAAAATCCGAAAAACTGACCCCGAAGATTTCCCAAAGTAACTTAACCATACTAAACCATACAAAAACCCCCCACTGAAACTTGGGGCCAGGCCCTCCCAACGTCGTTTCCCTGCCAGTCGCCAGGCCACGGGGTTTGGGTCGGTCCCTCCACAATCGCCTGCACATCCATGGGGTCCTCAGCTATCGCTGCGTTTTGCTATGGGAAAATGGCCCAGTTATAGCTGTTTAATAGTGATGATTTGACATATACCATAATAGTTATATGTTTAATAGTTTAATAGTTATAAAGTTGTTATGACTGTTTTACCAAGATTTATACCTATATGACTGGTTGGTGGTTGGCCTACCCCTCTGAAAAAATATGAAAGTCAGTTGGGATTATGATTCCCAATATATGGAAAAATAAAAATGGTCCAAACCACCAACCAGATTAGCAGTGATGATTTTCAAGAGTTATTAATTAGTTTACTGGAGGGTATGGAAAATCACCATTTTAATTATTTCGTAAGTCAACTGTAAATGGCGAACTTTCCATAGCGATGTTAGTTTACCGGAGGATATATGGGTCCCCAAAAAGATGCACAAAACTCTTTCTATCTGTTTGGGGGTTGTAATACTGTACATAATCATGAAATGCCAGGCATCACAATTTGGTAGGTACATGGGGGGGGTACCATATATATATGTATATAATTATATATATATATATATATATATGTACACACCCATACATACAATCAATATACATGTTGCATATCTATCAACATTTATTTACACATGTGGATGAATTTCCCAAGTATTCGATGTCCATTTATTTACGTTGCCTTTGACCCTAGGTTCGACCCGACCCACGATGCGTCCGCTCCTCGTGGTTGGGAACAAACTGAACGCCATCCAGCTTCTCCTGTTGCAACGCCTCAGGATCGTCGGACGTGACGGCGAGCCGCGTCGAGCCGTAGAGATCTACGGGAAATGATTTGGGGATGGGTCAAAACCATTCAAAACCTATATATTGTTACCGATATGGGGGGAAGAAACAATAATTTTCACCAGTGATTCATCCGGGTAGCATCCAGGTGCCATCGGGTTTTAACTCATAGCCATTTCTGGATTGGTTTTAAGGGAAAATCTAAGGGACAGCTCTATGATTGCGGGTCAATCAACTATGGTTTCCTACAGATTCTCCAACAAACCAACCCATATCATCCAACACATTTTGTCTGGTTGGGGGTTGACCTACCCCTCTGAAAAATGATGGAGTTCGTCAGTTGGGATTATTATTCTCAATATATGGAGAAATAATATTCATGTTCCATATCATCCAACACCTCTTGTTGGTTGATAAGTTCATCATATCTCCCATCGATGGATGGTTTTTCCCGTTTTTTCACCTCTGAACAATTCCGGGATTTACCATTGACTTCGACCCGTCCCAGGTGCCGTCAGTTGCCGCGCCAGCAAATTGAAGACCTGCCAGGCACAGGCTGCGTCTAACCCAAAACGAATCACAAATCAGGCCTGCACGGTCAACCCAAACATGCATGGATCCTCCAATTTCATGCCGAGAAACCATGACCTACAAACAAACAAAGGTGGTTGAACCATCACACAATTCTTGGGTTGATTTGGGAATGGGTCAGAACCCTGTACAGCTCACATCTCGAAAGCGTGGCTCGGATGGTCATCACGTTGCGATGTGAATGAGGACCCAATTCCGGGGTCTGTTGCTATTGACTTGTTTTTGCTGTGTCGTCGCAAAATGGCAAAGTGGTTCCAAAGACACATGACTATCTTGCCAGTTTAATAAAGGGAACTTGTAGCTGTATTGGGATGATAAACTCATCGCGATTCGCTGGATCGTTTGTACTTGAAATCGTTTTCCTGCCCAGCAAAACTAGATGTATGGATATGGGCAAATTACCTTAAATTACCAAGAGGTCGAAAACTAGCATACCAGTTATCATCATTTGCTAGTACAAGTTGTGAAGCATGGAAAATTCACCTGGGTCACGATTATTAATCAACCAAGCAATTTGACAAGGACGTCTGGATTTTGTCTGAACATCGGTTACACTCAAATTTGATGGTTATTCATCATCACCATCATCATCATCATCATCATCATCATATATATATATATATATATAATGTCCCATGAAAATTCATCTAATTTGGCACCATACCCCGTTTATCACTTTGTTGGTTAATTCTATCCCCAACTCGATTGACTGCTCCATTTTTGTTGTTCATCCCAGTAGGTCAAAGTAGGTCATCACCATACATTTAAAAAAAAAAACACATAGAAAAAACCCTTGTGAACACTGGGAAATAGCTACAATCTGGGTCCCCCAAACGTTATAAGTTGGTCTATAACCCAATCTAACTATAGTTATAACTACCATAAACCCTAGTTATTGTATAGTTATAAACCAACTTAGCTATCTTGGGGGCACCACTTTGTAGTACAATGTTGTATATAATATATAGTAACAATGGGATATATTGTACTAGTATAATGTTGTTAATATATGGCTCCAATATATGGATCAGAGAAAAAAAAACATAACCTGTGACTATTCGGACTGGAATGCACAGCCAAGATCATCCAAGTACCACACCCTACTCAGAGGATCATCAACATCCCACTTAGTAGGTAAGTGGTTCATAACATTTCATAACCGTATTTAAAACCCAGTTGTAATATATATATATATACAGTATATATATATATAATTATATATATATATATATATGTATTATGGGAAAATCCCACTATAAAACGGGGACTTACGATGACGAAAAAGGCTTATGAACCACATTACAAGGACTGGATCCACATGCACCTTGGGGCTGATGTTCTCGTTCTGCCGGATCATTTTCGCCTCCGGGTCACCGGTTTTCCGTGTTGGGGCAATCATCACATGGGGGTACCCCAATAGTCATGGGGATACCCCGATAATTTTCAATAGCTGGAAGGTTTATTTCAAAAATCATGAAACCTACCAAAATAAAATGCCTTCAAAAATCATCAAACATCATAGATATCTGGGGGCACCCCACATTTCAGGAACCCTCTACATGGCTTGCCAGAATTTCCCATTTATGGCTGAGTTTCCCATAGGAAAAATGGCCCGCCCTGTACACGGAATCATGTTCCAAGGCCGCTCGGAACCGAGCAGAATTTTACTGGTATGGACTCAAAGATGGGGGAATAGCCACAGGAGAACCAGACACTTTCATGAGGAACTATGGGAAAAATGATGATAACTTATCATCTTTATTTTGTGGGAACATGATGATAACTGATCATATGATAAGCCATTGAATTTCTAAGCTTGTCCATTTCAGACAACGCCATGTACCAACAACGAAAACAAAGGTTGGATCTACAATGCCATAAGCCATACATACTTTTTTTATGGTTCAACTTTTAATTATGGGTGAATCCCGATTTGTTGGATGAATTCTAAGATTCCCCGAATGGTTGGGATATAATTAAGGATTGTGTCATGCGGAACCATCATTGAAAAATAAATAAAACACACAAGTTTTCTGTTGTTTCAACATGTTTAAACATAAAACATGTGTCGAAAGGCAGGTAGCTTGGTCAATGCGTCAACGAGTTTCATGGTGTTAAAAAAAAACAGCTTCCCATGCTCCAGAGAGCTGTTGCTTTGATATCTTTGATCCCAGGGATGGTCACATTATGAGGCTCAGCATATTTCCGTTGAGGAGAGTGGATAATAAACTTTTAATAAACCATGGAAATATGATGGATTTTATTTATTAATATGACGTTTCCCTTGGAAAATGATGGATTTGAAATGACCTCGGGTTTGAATTGGCCCCCTTGCCGTCCCCCTTTGCCTGCAAATTGCTAGATTCAACCGGGACTACGCACGAGATTCCCTTTTCGGGATTAAGAATGCCTCTATGCAAAGGAAATGTCCATGCCAGTGGGATTCGATTTTTTTGTGGATCAACTGTGCTTTTTGCCCTATGAATGGTTTCTTTGGACAATGACGCTGTCGCAGAGTTGCAGTCACATCCTACGCTCTTTTCTCCCATAGAGACCAACTGGCCATGTGCTGGTTTGCAGCTTGAGCCATGAAGTTCATAAAAAAGGATCCTGCTGGCAAGTGAGCTACATGTGATTGCCCCAAAACAATACACCTCTTCTGGGGGGGGGGTCCTAAAATGGTGGTACCGCCCAAATCATTCATTTCATTTTTGAATTGTTCCATGAAATAAACCATCCAGCTATTGGGGTACCCCCATGACTATGGAAACCCCGGGAAATTATATTGGATCCCATGCTTTATCATCATATTTCACGAAAAGTGCCATGGTTTGGGGGTAAATTCCCTCTTGATTGAACAAACCTAAATGGCAACAGTAGCCCTGCGACCCACCGCTTGCGTAGCTCTTAGTATTTGGATTTTGAGCCGGTTGAGTCCTTTGCATAGAATCATGGTTACACGTTTGAAAAAAAAACTGCAAGCTACTTGCTACTTGTCTGGAGAAAACTGTTCCGAACCATATATGGCTAAAGGCTGGGACATCCTCCTAAACAAGGCTCGAAATAGATGCAACGATATGCAAAGAGTACCACGAGTGGAAATTCAAATAGCCCATGAAAAGTCATGGAAAGACAAGCACCAATCTGCTGAAATTTCGATCATTGCCATGAACTTTTTCAAAATATATGAGTTCTCCACACTCTTCACATGGGCATAATATATCATCATATGACCTTCAGACCTTCAGCTACAACTTCACCTGCTAGACAGATCTGTGTCAAACCCACAAAGCTTAGCAACAACGCCTCTTTTGACTGCTGAATCGATCAAGTATGTGTAGGATCCCACTCTTTGTTGGCCTGCGAGCGGAGAAAGTGAACATGTCTGGCTGCATTGTTTTTGTTGCCAACTCGTTCTTGGCAGAGGGAAATTTCCAGGCAGAAGAATTGACAATTCCATACACTTGCCATTTATTAACAATGGTTACTATGGTGCATGAGTCTATGGCCCCAAATTACCTCCTGATCATCCTAATCCCAGTCCCAGTAATCCTACGCCCAGAAGCTGGGGGTACCATTTGGGGACTATACGGTATACAGTATGTTCCCACATCTTGGCAGGCATGAACATCCACAACTACTACAGCTGCCTTTTTTGGGGTTCATCCGGGTACGGGTACCCATGCGCCTTCCAGGTTTCTCCATCCGCATAGATCTCCTTCTTCCAAATTGGGACTCTCGCCTCAGTGCCGGGAGACCGGTCTCCCCTGCCCTTGGTGGACCCGTTTTGTCATTTTCGAAGGTGCAGTTGGTGATGTGTTTTATTTTTACACTTTATTATCATATATACATATATCCATGGTATTGTGTTTTATAATATTATTCAGTTGATAATGTGTACCCACTTTATTATTATCTGTACTGAATAATATTCTGTCAAAATCTTCCAAATGTGGGTACACGTTGGCACCATGGATGGCACCACATTGGACTACTAGAAATTTCAAATCTAGCATAACAAAAAAGAAAATCCGCGGAGATTGAAGTTCTTAAACATAGACCATGATAATATATCCCTGTAATAATATATGTAAAGCCCATGATAATATATTATGAAAATCTAGCCTTTGGGATGTGGATGACCAAACAATTGTGTTTTTCCGGAAAACACCGACCATCGATTGTGGTGGATTCTGGGGGAAACCCCCCGACAGTCAGTCCGACAGTTGAGTCTTAAAATTGGGAAACTCCAAAGCCAGGGCTTATACCTTTATAAATTAAACACACAATCTTGTAGGGAGGGTCCCCTAGATAGGTAAGTTGGTTTATAGCTGATTAGGTTGGCCAAATGGTGTTCATTTCATGTCCAGTACGTTCTATCATTTAGCGAAGTAGTTGGATGGGTTTATAGAAACTAAACAACCAACACAATCCTATAGGATCCATGTATGCTATATATATATGGTAACATTTACCATAAATATACCCCCAATGTTAGCATATATACCAGCACCATGGATCCTATGGGAATTGGAGAGATTTTTCCAAAACCATAGGGGTTCCCCGTGCCTTCAAGGTGTCGATGATGTAGCGACAAGCATCAAAGCCCTGGCAGTGAGGGGAACTGAGGAACTGAGATCAGACGAATAAAACTGGATAGAGGCAAACATATTAGTTACAACAGTTAATAGTGATCAATCACCCTTCGTAATCCATATGGTATAAATGATACATCGGATATAATCATGATATGGATATAATCACCCAAAAATGATTACCATCTAGTTATTTAACATAGCCATAGAAAGATCCACCATGCTATTAATAGGTAAACTCAGGTAAACCATCTATCTCTATGGGCCATCTATACCATGGCTATGTTAAATAACTGGAGGGTAATAGTGATAGCGGAAAAAAAAACATGCTATAACATCAGTGTGATAACAACTATGTAATAGCAACTAACTAATATGAATATCGCTATGAGCATTAGTACTAATATTAGTAATACTGTTGATGTTATAATGACTGATAAGACTTATAATGACTTACATATGTTGCCATATCATAACCATATCATCTATCATAATCATAGCTAAATCACATTAACCATTTCATAACCATATTGATGGAATGTTGTTGAATTGGTAAACGCTGCGCAACAGGACTGTGAAATATTGTGAACCCGTGAACCATCGGATACATTGATGCCTGGAATCCTGAAGATTTAACTGGGGCCCCCGTTGAGAAAAAAATTGCGTTCAGTTGGTTTAGTTGCCTAGGTGAAATGTATGGTTTATGGTAGATATATCGAAGTGGTTGCCATGGGGTGTATAATCCCATCCCCAAAAAATATGAAAAACACACCATAAATGGTTCCTATGATGTGGAAATTCCCTACAACAAACCCATGGTTTCGTTCAGGGGGTGTTTAATATGAACGGTGGATGGGATTAGTCACCAAATTACAACGTTTGGGGGCCCCACATTGTAAAGATTATGTACTATATTAACTATTAACATCTATAACTTTCTATTATCATCTATCATAACCATAGTTATATCACGTTACATAATGATTTTCTTATGGTTCTCCTGGTGAAATCTGCATGGTTTCCTGCGCAGGAAGTTCATCATGGCCTCCGGGCGGTGCTCAGAGGCCACTGCGATCAAGACGGAGGCTTCGGCCAAGGGAACCACCTGAGATCGGGGGGTGAATATGCCAGATGCTATGAATTGATGATATATGAAGGTTACAATGTGGGCCCCCCTAGTTATAAGTTGGTTTATAACCCAATCTAACTATACTTATATCTACCTTATACCCTAGTGAAATTGTAGTTATAAACCAACTTAGCTATCGGACGGGGGCCCCACTTTGTAGTGATAATCTGATATGCCATTTAGCTCATTATTATTCATTATTCATATATTGTGAATGTATTGAGATTATATTGCCAGATTTTGTAAATCAAAATTCATTGAAATGAATAGTATGAAGGTTGGTGATATTTAGATACAGTAATATAATATCAATGATGATAAACATAAAGGTTTCACCAATCACTTTTAATTGGGAAGTTGCAGACAGTTATGGATCTGAAGGTTTCACCAATATATGGTAATATCAATGGCCATGCAACAGGAACCGATTCATTGGAGGTACCTACCATGTATAGGGCCTATGTTTCAGGGCTATGTAAGGGAATATCCCCAAACAATCTGGCCTTATATGGTACAGTACCTCCATTTTAGGATCCTGGAATTCCCATTGATAATATGATTAGTGGCACTAGTCATTAATGAATATGTTGTTTTCATCAAGCATTATAATGGCGATGTTATGCTGATGGTATACTAGCAATATTGCACCGTATCTTACCATGTATTTACACATCATCACTATCTATTACTGTAATATATTCATTAGTATATATATACATGGTAATATGATCTGTGGTGATAAAATGGTGATTCATCAATACCTATGGTAATCATCTATGGTCATAGCGTTAATTTATATTGGGGATTTTACAAACAATTCTGATAAAATGGTGGTAAAATGGTTTTGTCCTGAAAAAAATGGGAATAGAATAGGGTCTCGCATGGTTTCGCATGTTTAACTATACTAATGTGGTTTTACATAACCAAACCCCAGGTTAACGTCCTATGGTTGACATCCTAAGATCAACATGCAATGGTTATGGTAATGGTAAACTATCACTATCACTAGCATTATCATTTACTGGTGGAAAAATGTGGAAAATGGACCAATCAGAATAAAATGGTGGTTTTAACATGTTTTTGGCGATGAAACCTAGCAATCATAGTGTGGTGTTCAGGGTTAAACAACGTAAATTCACAATCAAACACGCAAGTTTAGCAACCTGTATGTTAAATTGTTCGTAGAACTATGTTGGTGCAGCAATAATCAACGATCCCCAAAATCACAATTTTTATGGGTGATATAAACCATCAATCCATATGGGTGGTTTATGACATTGCTTTACCAGCATTTTCATTGTCAAATGGGTATGGGTCAAAATTATTCAAAATTGGGGTACACTCTGGTAAACATAGCGATGGAAAATCACCATCTTTAATAGCTAAAACAACGAACAAAATGGGCCATTTTCCAGATCGCAAACTGTTGACATAACCAGAGGGTACCCCAATAATCCGATGGGGACCAAAAAATCGGCCAAAATCTCCGGTCCAAAATCGGTTTTCATGGCGGGCACCCCGTCTCGCCCAAATCTGTCAGAAAAAAAATGCTCTCCAAAAAAATAAAAAAAAACTTTTCAATAGGGAAAATGATGATCAACCACTGGATCTGGGTGTACAGTGTACTCAGTGTACACACTATTTTCAGAGAATCCCATATCCAAATCCTCTGACAGTTATGGCCCAACAGTTAAAAATTAAATGAGATTGTAACTACTATAAATAACTAAGGTGACATATAATTCATGAAATAATCCCATGGGTTTATTTCATGACATATAACCAACTAGTTATAGGAGCTATATTTGCAGTTATAACTGTTACTTGGGATTATAACTAAGGCGAACTATATCATTCTAAGCCCATGTATAACTACTATAACAACTATATAATCCCACTTATGACTGTTATATAAGGGCCATAACTGTAGTTGGTTAGCTATAAATTGGTTTATAAAACCCCGTAAACATAAATTAAATATAGTTATATCTACCATAAGCCAGATATAACTGTTACTTGGTTATTGAACATAGCCATGGAAAATCATCACTTTAATAGGTACATCATCTATTTCTATGGCTCATTTTCCATAGCTATGTTAAATAACCAGAGGGTAACCGTTACTTGGGCCATAACTGTAAGACATCCACCGTTCTGACGACTTAACGACCGATTTGTTTTTGCCCTGGGCTTTCCCGGCGCCCAAACGATGCGCACAGGCCACACGCCTGGACGGTGACGAGAAAGCGTCAGCTTCTATGGTGATGGAATGGTTATTAAAGGTTAAAAGTGGTTGAATGGATGATTAATGGTGAATAAATGGATGGTTAATGGATGATTAGTAGATGTTTAATGCTTGATGAATGGTGATTTAATGGTGGATTAATGGTAATTTGATGGTGATTATTGATTATTGGATGACTAATCGATGATAAATGGATGATTCATGGTTAATATTGGTGATTCATGGAAAATGGTGATTTAATGATGAATAATGGTTATTTTACCATTAATCCTGAAAAGGTGAAGAGTGGTTGATGAATGGAGGACAATGGTGATTTACTGGTGATTAATGGATGACTAATGGATCGTAATAAATATTTAACGGTGATTTAATGGTGATTTTCAAGTGAGTTACCAAACTGTGATTGTTGTTTTATTCCACTGGGGATTTATAACCGGAAATAATGGGAGGTAGTGCAATATAATATAGCCAGCAAAGAATTCAATATATCGGAAGATACCCTCCGGTATTTAACTTGGGATATTAAGCACCAAGATTCATATGTTGGCGATTTAAACGTTAACCAACAGCTAAATTGTTTTGGGACCTCGCTGTGCGAACATTCCAGAGAGGTGCTAACATTGTGACATTCAAAGCAAATTACGCAACAGTGACCTTTTGCCTGCTATTCCAATATTGCAATAGTAGGACCAAAATTGGAGAGATTGATTGTCTTTTGGATTTCACCATTAATCATTAATCACCATGAAATCACTATGAAATCATCCGTTATTCACCATGAAATCACCATTAAAACTGGTGCATTTATTCACCATTAATCATTCATCACCATTAATCATTAATTACCATTATTCACTATTTCTATCTATTTTTTGGTGCAGTTTTTGATATTTATCAGTGCCATGGCTAGGATGTCGATGAGATTCCTAACACCTGCATTCCCGCCCAGGTCTACGCCAGGCACCCATAACTGGGAATGGTAGTCACATAGCACCGATAAAAATGATGAAACATGGTCATGACTGGGGGATGATTTATGACAATGTTTTACCCACATTATGTAAAGTTAATAGTATCTGAATGTCATTGGGATTTAACAATTTGATAATTCCAGTATCAATTAGTGACCATTCATTGACAATATTGGTATATATCTTCAATACGTGTGAATACAATCAATTAGTTCAGATTGGGATAGAACAAATTGATACAAATTGGATGTTTCAAACTATCCAAGCTTAATTGTATCATGATTTTCACAAATCATCTTAGAGACATAACCAATATTAACCGACAACTGCCGACATCGTTGGAGATCACGAGTTTGTGGTTGGGTGGGATGATCTGGTCAGCAATGATTGTATGAATGCTAGGGGATGATCATTCATTAAGCAATAATCCATAGATGCATTGACTACGATACACTAAGTATCTTATCTTAACATATCTTGTTACTATAGATTATAGATTTAGTTAGTCAAATGAATATCCCTGATTTATATCCCCGATGGTTTTTCATTAATATCCATACTCAGATCATTAGTATTCGTATCCATCATCCTTAAACCCCCCCTGCGAAAGTCGAACTGAGACAAATTTGGTTCCGCGAAGTGAATTTCTGTCCCTTCCACTTCCTCAGTCGGCTCTTTTCCCCAGCTTCCTGCAATCATGAAGACCGGCTTCGCCAAGTCCATCACTGTGAGGGCTTAGCAGAAAAGACGTTCCCAGTTCCATCCTGTTCTCACAGCTAGTCAGCTAGTCTTTGTCTTACTGGTGCTTAGCAGGGAATGAGGGAATGATCCATAATCACTAGTAATAATCATCCCAGCAACCCCCAGCAACCCATCCAGCAACCCTACGTAAAACGCACCAGTAAGTTGTCTGAAGAGACAAAAGCTTCCTGTTTTCATTTTCCAAGTCTGCGAAGATTGAGACAGAGTGTTTTTTGTCCCGAGCCGCTCGGTCTTCAGGGATGATGAGATATTTAGTCCAATAAAAATATCCTGATTTAATATGTTCAATATAACTTTATAATATATCCTGACTTAATATGTTTATATAAATATAATCTTATAATATATCCTGATTTAATATTTGATATCAATATGATATTAATATCCTGAATCAATATTTTTAAAATCACAGATGACTGGGGACGTACCCAACTGGTTGAAAACCACATCAGGATATGCAGAGTTTCGGGTTGATCATGCACCTTTCATGGAAGAATAATCCACCTGCGAATTGAACACAGCGAAATGGAACATCACCATCTTTAAAGAGGTACCCTCTGGTAAACTAACATAGACCCTGGCAGATGTTGGAAGAGTAATTTCAACTAAACAGTGGCTATTTTCAGGGTCAACAAGTTAATTTAGCAGAGGGTAAATCATCGAACTAAGCATTTTCCATAAGCACACTACGATTACCAAAGTGCACATGGATATTTGATGTCATCAACCACCATCGGGGATACCCTCTCGTAATTCGAACTGGAAAATCCTCTTAGATTATAGAAATTTAGCAGGATGTTCCACTCATGCTACTTATAAGTCACATCTAACTACCCTTATCGGATAAACAAGATGTGGACAAATCACCCATTTTATGGATGAAACTACCTCCTAAAATGCTGATGGTTCACCACGTGGGGATGGGATTTTTAGTCGTGGGATCTCATTTGTTGAAGGCTTCATCCCGATTAATCACTTAGAACTAGGTCTGTTAAGGGGGTTATATTGGGTACCATATAGATATAATATGATATAATGGATAACCCCAATACTAATCCCTTAGAACTATATTATCTCTTAACAGTTGTTATATTGGGAAATCGTACTGATAGATACTCCAACTCTTGAATCTTAAGTTGCAGTATAACTTTCATGTGCTTGGGATTGCTTGGGAAACCCAATTCGTAGCTCCCTGGCGTCCCATTTGGCAAATCATCATCCAAAATGCAATTCACGATGCTTGACCTGAAACCACACATATCAGGGATTCATTACTCTCGGAAAAGAATAGGCTCCATGTGTTTCTGACTAAAACCATGGGTTTTCCACCAATTTTGTGCGTCGAAACTTATTTGATTTCTCCATTTCTGTGGCTTGAAACTATAGTCCCAAACAATTGGTGAGTGCTTCAACCCCGGACGTGCCGCCTGATGCCGGCTCCGCACTTGCCATCCAGCACGTCTTGCAAGATGCGGTCCATCTCCTACGGCAACGATAGGGAATGAGACGACTGACGGTTGCAGGTTGCAGGCAAATCTTGGAATATATGATGGACATGATGATTTCATGCATCTATGAGGTTTGCACATGTATACATAGATATCTATAACTAGATAGATACATAGATAGACGCGCACAAATTTCGTTCGCTTAATGGTTGGGGTTGCGAATGGGGATGGGAGTGGAATTTATTTACACATAGTCTCACATAATCCTTACGCTTGTCACCGCTTTTGTTCACCTAGAGGGGAAGCTAAGAAAGCGTCCGGCGCTTTCGAACGACGACCAGAATGCACTTGGTGCAGATTGCACCACAGCAGAAGTTTGTAGGACCATTGAGGCCGCAATGCGGCGATCTGCAGACCCTTCGAACTGGCTTTCCGGCGACCAAATGGTTGGTGTATCAGCAGTTTTGGGCGGTAAATCCCCATATCAAACCGCCAGACACTACAACCTATACGTATTGGATGATCAAAACATATGTTTTGGTTAGTAGGCGAAATCCTTTGTTTTTACAGGGTTGCTTCCAACACCCCAGATACAAAGCGGGGGGAACAAGATAAATATACAAATAAAAATACACATGTTCATGATTGATATAGGTTGGAGCAACCCTGATGATTGTTGCCAACAAACTATAACAAACTCCCGTGAAAATATCCCAATGAAATATTCCCATTGTATCCCCATGATACCTTCCAGTAATCAAACATGGCACTGGACAATTCCACATGTATAGACGGTATTCCCAGTCAAACCTCCATTCATAGGAGGAGGGTGCCCCTCACCATTCGATTAGAGATTCCTGGTATGGAACTGGCGTAAAAAAACACCACAAAATTAACGAAAAACCTTGGTTATCCCCATGATTGTTATTTTGGTTATCCCGCAAAAATCCCCCTACATCATCCATTTTAATAGGATTTTCAATTTGAAACCATCCATTAATAGGAGGGTATACCACACATAAAACCTACCATCTGGGCAAATGATCATAATTCACTGACCTGAAATCTTGGGCCATTTTGGGATTCCCCTTATGAGAACCATGATTCCAGGGCGAACAGGTCGAACGACGTGATGTCGTTATAATTTGCCCGTGCCACGTCGTCCCGCCACCTTCAACGCCATCGGCTCATAGGCCTCGTATTCCAAGTGAACCACCTGTGACGTGGTAGCAAAAATCGTGGTACCCTCTGGTTATGGAATAATAATGAATATGAATAGGATGATAATGGGATTATAATGGGATATTAATAGTACCCCCTGGTAAAATAATAGTTTGCTATTGACCATGCTCATTTATAGTTGTACTCTCTGGTTATGTCAAAAGGGGTGAATATAGGTGAATAATCATGGATAATAATGGGATATGAATGGGGTGATCATGGGATTATATATATATATTATACCCTCTGGTTATGTCAAAATAGCTATTGAAAATAGTCATATATAAAGTTGATATACAAAGTAAACATTGTGATTTCCATAGCTATGTTAGTTTGAGGGTAGAATGGATGTGATTGGTATAAAACTAACAATATACATGCATACAGTTATGGACCAACTAACAGTTATTGTAAAAGGGGTTATTTCATGATATATTTCACCAGCTAGTTCAAGGAGTTATTTTATTCCATTTATAAATGTTAGTTGGGCCATAACTGTATATCCTATCATAATAATTCACAAAGCTGAAATGAGGCTCAGATTGGGATAAATATCAACCATATTTACAGTGATGTCGCATTGAACTCGTTAAAGACTATCACATACACCTATACATGTCATCTGCACAAATAATTTCTACAATGAACAAGCAGTAAAGTTCTGAGAAGTTATACCAACAACCATGCGTTTTTTGCACTGGATTGGCTTAAGGGACACGTAGAAACTCGAACACTGCTCAAATGTCTAGGTCTAGTCTACAAGGTGGTGCCCCCACCCAGTTATAAATGGGTTACAATATGTTATAATCCCATTAACTATAGATATATCACCTATAAACCATGGTTATTGGACTTATAAACCAACTTAGCGATTCCGAACTGGGTTGAAGAAGCGAATGTGGGCATCCCTAGGCCGAACTTCCGATCCTACCCTTTTTTTTCGGGGCCCGGGTCTCGGCGATCGATCCATCGCCTTTTTTGACGTTTTTTGCCGCACTTCTTGGTGGAGTCCTTATTTTCCATGGTATCTGGGTAAATATTCAGGTTAATTTAGATTACCATCTATAGTGATGTTACTATACTATACTATAGATATCTATAGATACTATAGACGATACTGGGTAAATGATCATATTTCACTCACCTGAATAGTTCGGCCATTTAAGGGGATGATTTACCTTATGAAAACCATATGCCTTGCACTTTCTCAGCCAGTTTTTGTACAAGTTTGCTCGTGTGCTTCCTGAGCAGCTTCTGGAGCTTCCTGTGCCTGGCCCTCTTAACAACATCTTTCTCTTTCTTGCTTTCATACTCAGCAGTCCCCATTCTTCTGATTTGAGCTCTTCTGAGGGAAGGATGAAGCATCAGGGACAAGGAGTTTTGAAGCTCTAGCGACTCTAGTCCTCCCCAATGGCATCTTGGATCTCTGGTTGGAGCTCTGAGGTGTGCAGTCCTTATCATCGGCTGGAAATAGTCCCAGACTTGCAGATCTGAGATGTGCTGAAGCACTGTGCTGCTCAGATTCCAATCTGCCCAGATGGTATATCCGCAGCTCAAATCAAATAGATCAACCACTAATCCCCATATTTAGCTACATCACCAGTGTCCTACATGTTTCATGGTTATCTCAACCAAATTAGCTAACATATAATCAAATCAATAGCTTAGGAATCACAATTTTCTATGGTAAAATTCCAATGTTTCATGGTTATATCACATTAAATCACATTGAATCACCATCATATCCAATTAAATCACCATTTTCTTGATTAAAGTCCCATTAAATCACTATTATATCCCATTAAATCACCATGTTTCTTGGCTAAATTCCATTAAATCACCATGTTTATGATAAATGCCAGGCGAAACCTTCGGCAGCTTCATCAGGCAGAAAATCCCATCATCCCCACCTTTTTGCCCTCGAAGTTGTCTCGAGTTGTGCCTCTCGTGTCACCAATGAAGATGGAAAGGTTGGACTCAGGGAGGTTGAACACTTACAGGAAAGCCCCAATGATCTTAATGGGAAAATAACTCTGGTTTCCGGTTAAGATGTTCCCTCAAACCAATCCATTGAAATATGGAAAAACATGACAAACCATTGTTCGTTTTTCTTCATTGGTGAACTGAGATGTGAATTTGAATTCCGTCTGGTTTCATAGGGATTGTGAACGAAGAAACTTTAGAAGAATACTTTGACGATCAAAAAGCTATGGGAAGGGACCAAAACCAAGGTCACAAAGGCAGTCATGAGCAAAAGCTATCGCGGTCATGGTAGTTCACTATATCACTTAATACATGGTCTTCCCATTTATCGCGATATGTAGTTCGCAAGACCTCTCAGGTAAGGGTTTCTGCATGGACCTTGTAGGTCTTTTCTCAGATGACTAATATGTGTTTGGTCACCAAACCATAGGGAAAGCCTAGTAGTGGGGTTAACCATCAAAAATGGTTGATTTATGGATTAATGTGGTTGAGACATACTGAAATTGGGACACAAAGATCCATCTAAAAAAGCGAATCCCATCAGCTATATGGGCTCCCAAGTTGTGATCAGATCAGCGGTTGGGTGGTGTATTTCATATTAGGGGCTAGGGATTGGGGATTTACAAAAAACATTGGAGCCAGTATGAGCCAGTGGCTGAATTTATAATTGACTAATCCAACAATGTAGAATCCGGAATAGATGGATGAGAATGGCTGTTCCAAGGATCTATATTACCATCTTGTTATGTCAAAATAGCTATTGAAAATGGACATTTATAGTTGATTTACCCATAAACAATAAGGTGATTTTTCATAGCTACGTTAGTTTACCAAATGGTATATATAAACATTTGTTTTACATAGGGGTTTTACATGATTTTACTAGGGCAATTTTTTGGCATCGGTCCATGAGCTGGTCCATGAAATACGGGATCGATACCATCCACTTTGATCTCGAGAATTGTAAATCAATGGTTTCCACTGCAGCAAACTACCACAGCTATGGAAAACGGCACGTTTCGTTGGATGATTTTACCAGATGGTGCCATGATTTCCAGTGATATTCCCATGAATCTCCCATTCTTGACGGTCAAATATGATTAAATATGGAGGTTTCCTAATATAGCTGTACCCAGTCATCCACTTTAGTAGGATTGTCCATGACATAAACCAACCGGCGATAAAGGGGTATCCCCATTTATGGAAACCTGATTAAATCACCAGTTGCCATCATCTTCCGAAGCTTTGTCTTCCCTGAACCACGGAACCACGGTCGCCTGAGAAGGTCGTAATGGCTCCACAGCTGGGGTCAGACACCTACAGATCTCTGGGAAAATCAGATGGTGAATCAGAGCGAATCAACAACTCGAATTTTTCGCTGGTGAATGAAGGAATTTTACCATTGCAAACGATCAAAGAAATAAAGTTCTTATCTGATCAAAGCATGGTTAACCATGAACATGTGGGAAAATTTGATGGATTTCACCACATTAAAGGATGGTTATAACATGTTATAACGATGGTTAATTCTGAAATTCTATTACAATCGCAAAATGCCGGGAACTCATGGATTTCAGCACATTTAACCATCCAAAAGAAAGGGATTGTACATTACTATACAAGCTGGGGCACCTCCTTGTAAAATTTAGTTCTTTATAAACCCAATGAACTAGTTCGCCCTTTTATAAAGTCAATGAACTGGTGAACGATATATGGAGCTGTCCTTTTTAATACGGCTACCACCAGTACATTTCTAGATGGGATTTTCCTTTGTAAATCATACCATGTGGATCCATGTGGGATAAGCCAATTGTAGGAAACCTCCGAAGCTGATCTCAAGAACGGTATCTGATGGTATGGTTGGTTAATGGATAGCCATGGATGCCACAAAAGGTCTAGTAGTATGATGAACTGACATGAAGAACGATTAACTGATTAACCATGCGAAAAAAACACTTATACTCACACTTAGTTTTCACCACTTATAGAAGTGTGAGTAACTGGTTCGGTGGTTTCAATCCCTCTGAAAAATATGAGTTCGTCAGTTGGGATGATTCTTTCCAATATATGGAAAAATAAAATTCCATGGTTCCAAACCACCAATCAGCCATTATTATCTCATCATCCCCTTTATAGATGACTTTCCAACTGAATGGAAAGTCATAAAATTCCATGGTTCCAGTCACCACCAATCAGATGAAATTCAATAAACATCTCATCATCCCCTTGGATTGGATGATGCTTCAAACTCCAAAAACACCCATCGAAAAACGACACGACAGCCATCTAAATCCATAAAACAAGCCTATCACTGATGGTGAACACCATTTTAAAAAGGAAGATTAAGCATGTAAATCAAAGAAGCACTGCAGATTTCAATGGTGAGAAATACCATATGAATCACTATAAAACGCTATAAATATCAGTACAAAACCATTATGAGTTCCATATAAAATCCCCATGGGACGATTTTCCGACCTCGTTGACCATTCGTCCAAAAACCCTCGCCTGCTTGACGAGCTCGTCCAAACTCAGTGGCTCATGGCTGATGAAACAGTGCTTCTTCTCACCTGGTGACCAACGTCTTCATCGGCGACTGACGCCGCGTAAAACGTGTGACGTTTAATGGAAGACATATGTTACATAACAGCTATGCGTATGATTCAGTATGATTGAGTTGTATATATATATACAGTATGTATACATGTGAAATTATAAAGGTGCATATAGTATCAGGTATACAATCGGATGCATATATATATATATGAATAGATTGTATGTATATACAGTATATGTGTGTATACAAGACGTTTTTATTCTGAGAGATTTAAGCAGCTTCGCATATAGGAATCATGTTTAACCATGGCACACATTGGTGCATCACGGTACGACACGAAACAAGGCATGAGAAATATTCCCTCATTCCAGTGGACTGGTTGGTTCATACAGCTATGGCCCAACTAACAGTTGTAAATTGTATTTGTGATATATAATCAACTAGTTATAGGAGTTATGTCATTCCATTGATATCATTCATTAGTTTTCTAGGAGTTTCTGTATCAATCCATTCATAATTGCTAGTTGGGCCATAATCATTGCAGCTATTCTGAGCCATAAATGGCTTCATTCACCTTTTCTCAACATTCTCAACCGTGGAACGGGTGGAACAGATGTTTTCCCCCCTTCGAGGTGACCTAGGTGAGGTGACCCCCCCGATCTGGGGAAATCTGACAAACTTCGGATCTATTGGGATAATCCAAGAAGAAGTTTCGTGAATTGTCCGTCGAATTTTCCAGAAAATCTGAATGGGACTCCATTCTTGGGATATTCACTCGACTTAAGGATTATTCTTGGAAAATGAAGTTGGATTGTTGTTGGGATAATTCCCCAATTCTCTGAAATAATTGAAATAATCCATAAATTCGACAAAATCATGCGAATAGGATTTGGGGATAATTCTCCGAATCCAATTCCCATGATTCCAGGCTTCGGTCACGACGTGAGGTCACTATCATTTAGCCAGATAGATGGATGAGATTTGCCCGTGTGATCGTGGTTGGTGCCATGATTGGCGGGGTCATCTGGCAGGGGTTGATGTTGGTTCACTATGAATGGCATCTTGAACGGCTTCAGTACATCGTTTTCAGCCCTCACCAATCTACCGTAGAGTTATGGCCCAACTAAAGTTCAGTTTATGGGCTTATTTCATGAAATATTTCACCTTAATTACTTAAAGGAATCATAATTCCATTTATAACTAATAATTGGGCCATAATACAGTAGTTCTGCCCAAACCTTTGGCTCCCCACCATCATCCGGCACGGAAGATTGGTTCCCCATTGCTAGGGCTGCTGAGAGTTTTCGCGTCCAGCTCTGTTGAAAATCATGCTGAAAAATATCAAGGTCATTTCAATGGCCGTTTCAGGAACCGATTCATTGGAGGTACCTAGATGTACCTAGCATATATTTTTGGCCAACTTTTCAGGGGCATTTGAAGGAATATCCCCAGAAAACATGGCCAACAATATTGGTTGGTGGTTGAGCCTACCCCTCTGAAAAAATGATGGAGTTCGTCAGTTGGGATGAGTCTTCCCAATATATGGAAAAATCCATTAAAATCCATTAAAATCCAGTAAACCACTACAATCCATTAATCCCAACTGAATGGAAAGTCATAAAAGCCATGTTCCAAACCACCAATCAGGGTTCTTAGTAGCTCCATGTATTGGATCCTGAAATTCGGATCGGGATGATCAGAGCAGCTGCTCTGAAGCTATCCCTCTGTGAAATGCCTGCAGAGAACATCAATGTCATGACAGAAATATATATATATATATAGAAGCTTGAACACATTGATAGAAACTCTGCAGAAATATGAATATATATATCCAGATTGTTTTTTCGAACACATTGATACAAACTGTGCAAGCTCAATCATTGGCGGCCTATGAACTGTCGAAAGGCTGTTGTTCGTCGCTGGCAAGTCTGGGTCCTGCATGGAACTTAATAGTCAGGCCACGTCACCATCAAACGGTTACATGCGTACCATGTTTTCTTCTGTGTCAAACAACAAGCAAAAGTCATAACTTATAATATAATTACTGTATATCAGTATATCAAATATTGACATCATCAAGTCGAAGAAGTGGAACCCTCATCTCTTTTCCGATCAATTATCAATGATCTCACATGATCCCTCAAATTTGAGAGGTCTGCTTCGCAGATTATTATCTATAGAAAAAAACAAGATATGAATGCGTGAAACTCGATATATATATATATATATAAATATGGATTACTTGGCATGCTTAGCACCCATGATCTTCTAGAACATGTTCTCAAAACGACAACAAGGCAATTCTGCAGACTACCCCATTCCCCTTTTATTATGTCACAATGCACACCCTGTTCATCAGGGAATGGAATCAAACTGTGCATTTCAGCCATCTTTGGATGATAGCGATGTGGTAGATATATCGAACTGGCTAAGTGGCTTTTTTAAACATATGAATAATATTCTAGGTATATGGAACTAGTTTTATGCGCTAGATATATCTATGGCTATATGATATATGTTATTTATATACATAAATATATATTACACTTACTGTATAATATAGCGAAAAATATAGTACATGGCAAATGGATGTTAATGGGCTTCCGAAACGAACAAACACAACTAGCCCCCCACCATTGATAATAGCGATGATACCCATTCTTTTCTGCGCGTTGGTTTCATCGCACAGAACTCATCTACTTCTACGCCGGATTCGGCGTCGGTCGTTCGTCACGAGGTGGATGTGTTTTGGCTGGAACAGCGCCTGGCCTCCAGTCGCCGGGTGCAAAAGAATAGTACACGCACCCAGTAACTTGCAAAAACCATAATGTAGCAAAAATCACAGGAAGGGCCGAGGAAGATTAAGGAAGATTAAGGTCAGTTGGTAACCATTTGGTAGGTAGCTGAAGTGTTTTTTCATGGATACATACGACTACAATCGATTACATAGCTATGTAGATTGGCTTTACCAACAACATAACGTTGGGGGACCTTTTTGAATTGAATGCCATGCTGGCCATGCACTTTATTGGACAACCGGACAACCTGGGTGAAAGAACTCTCAGCACGTATCACAGTGACCCGGTTGTGGGTCGCCGCCGATCCTTTAGCTCTACGATTCTCCAGCTTCTTAGGATGCATTGGAGGTACAATTTACTATAATTTGGAGGGTTAGCCGTACCTTCTCAGACAGTGTTTGGATCCATACAAAGTGGGGGATAACTATGATAGCTAAGTTGGTTTATAACTACAATAACTAGGGTTTATGGTAGTTATAACTATACTTAGATTGGGTTATAAACCAACTTATAACTAGGGGGCCCCACATTGTAGGGATCACCAAAACCAACAGTACGGAGCCAATCTAGTTCCGTAGTGCAATCATGATTCAGAAATTGGCTTATCCTGGATGCCCTGCAACCAAGGTGCGTGTCCGATTTGTCTTTAACATGTGGCGAAGAATCTTCTTAGTGTCCATTTGTAGAGTTGGTTTAATGCAAGAGATATGTCAGAGATATAGACACCACTCATTTGATCTTATTTGTTCGGTGAGACTGCAGCATTTGTCTCAAAACAATCCTCTCATAGTCGCATACCAAGTTTGGGGTACCTATTGGTAATTGAACACATCGGAAAATGGCCTACAAATGATTTACCTATTTTTCCAGTAGTGATTTGCCACATGAAAGTAATAGCTATGACAAATTACCAGATGGTAATCACGAAAAATCACCATTCTTGCTGCTTACCCTCTGGTAATTTAAGATAGAGAACTGGAAAATCACCATCTTTAAGTTCGGTAAATCAACTATTTCGATTAGGGCCATGACTTCCAGTTCGCAAACGGTTGACATAACCAGAGGCATTTTTTGACCTAAAAAATCACCATTCCATTACCATTCAACTGACATTTTCCAAAACTTAACTCCCCATCTTTCCACGGAGAGTTCGACGAACTCACGGAGGCCTCGAACGTGCGACAGACTTGTTTCGTGCATTTCGTGGCTGGCAGCTGCTGAAAAAATCCCAGCCCTGGTTGGGTAATTTATGGTTTATAACTCCAACAAAACTACGGTTTATGGTAGATATATCTATAGTTAATATTATTAGTTCATGGGTTTTGTAAAGCAACTTACAACGTTTGGGGGGCCCACATTGCAGGGTCATGGAGTTTTCATAAATATCACATAACTTAACTGGCTATCCCCAACACATTGGATAGGTTTGGATAGTGTAACATCCCCTACAATTCATCAACTGGGGTTTGGAACACCTTGACTACCTACCACAAACAACGCGACATAAATAATATAATAATGGTTTCCCCAAACAATCATTTGCCATCTAGGGATTCTTCGCTACAAGGGACACGCACACACACACACTGCATCTCAGATTCCGGGGCCGTCCCATCTATAAATTTAAAGCAAAGTCACTATAGATGGGTCATAAATATGGTCACCACTGTAAACAAATGGACTAGAATGACTAGAACAATAGTTGCAGAACTGAAGATCATCAATGCCCACCCCCCTTCCATATCTTGGTGTATGAACTCATCTAACTATAGATTTATCCGACATATTCATGACATGTGGCATTCATCCTCTATATTGGGAATCATTATAATGGGTATATTAAACCCTATTAATGGGTATATAACCATCCCCTTCTATGGGACATGTATTTTTTTTGGCCAACAGAAAACTCTCCAATTAGGGAGGGTAGGGTCAACCACTTCGGTTGCCAGCCGTGCAGCATTTGCAGCGGAAAAGCGTTCGCTCGTCACGTGTTTCAACGAATTCAGCTCTTTGAAAAAAGGATGGAGGGCCGACATCTTCGGTTTCTGATATATATAATCAGCCTGAAGTATATATATATATACATTTTATGTGTATATTTACATATATTTGTTTGATATGTAATATGAATGTGTATACGTTAATACGTTTAAAAAACAATGAAAGGTCATGTTTAAATGAAATAATTTGGTATGATATGTTTGTACATTTTTCAGTGATCTGCTACTTCAGTTCTTGTTTAAAATGTGATGTACAAATGTGTGTCTATCTGTCTTTTTATCTCAATATCAATCTCTATCTCTATGTCTATCTCTATGTCTCTCTCTATCTCTCCATGCATGCATCTGGTTGAATTATATAAATATAATTCACCGAACTGAAAATAAGTAAAGTAAGGTAATTTGGGGATGATTCCCTTGACTAAGCATCATCTCATGGTGACGTCGCAGAATTAAGGCAGTGATAAATCAATATATGATATATCATAACATAATATATCTATACATGCAAATCACGCTGGTGATGGCAGTGACATTTGCATACATCGCCCTGGTTAACGCGATCAACAGCCATCTGTTTCGTTGATGTTAAAACTAATCGAAATGGGATAAAACAACCTTTGTGTAAGGGAAGGATGGTGGTTTAACTTGGGAAGTTATTCACACTGTGGCGATGTGCCCGCAACAGTTTGATATTTGGGTGTGTCTGCAAACGATACAAAGAAAAAAACAGGTTTCATAGGGAAACGGATGGTGTTTACCATCAAATTTCGGGGGTTAGGTGGGAGATCCCGTACCTTCGGTTATCGACAAATTCAGGCCTACCACTTAGATGGGCATTGGAGTTAGTTAACTAGTTAGCAAATGGTTTTTCATTGGGATTTCTGGTGGCTTCTATCATTGAGAAAAACCCACTAACCGCTAATCTTTCCCATGGTCGGAATCCAAGCAGGGTGTCTTGAGATTCCCTGTCTTCACCGTTGCATCACTTTCAAAATTCGTTCTGGTTCCCAACCTGGAGATATCTCGCAATTGTTCATACACTATACCGTTCATTTGGGGTGAAACATAACAAACAACTTAGCCAATGAAATCATATATTTAATACCATTCAATCACCATTTTTCATGATATACCCAGTATATATCCCATCCATCTGGTTGATTTTTGTTTCGCACTTCACCAAACTCTTCAGGTTTGGGCATTCTGGGACAATCTGTAGCCTCCTAATCAAGAATTGTTGCATAATCTGCTAATGACCTCACAATAAATTCACCAACTCTGATGCTGGAAGGGTTTCATAAAACTGAGTATAATGACTAGTTACTAACAGTTACCATTATCCAATCTGGTTGATAAGCTTATCATGTCCTAATTCGCCTAACGTTCTTCGCTGTGGACTATAGTGACTATCACCATTTTTACCGGTTTATTTCATCGAACAAAAAATTGGTGATTTTCTCATCTGCGAAGTGTCTGTCAAATTATCGGAAACTGTCTCACCA